GGGACGAGATTCTTCCTTCCTCGTAGGTTTTTTACATATACTACAGGTAAATACTGATGAAGACATTGTTGACAATCTCTGAAGCTCAGTTGGGACTATTGTTTTTTTTTCAATTTTCTACAAAGATCAAATCCACAATAACTTTTTGTTTCTTTTTTTTTAACTTTGATATAAACTAGACTTAATTCTAGTGAATTGGAAAATGCAACAGTTGTGGCAAATTTTATGATATCTTGACAATTCAAGCTGAGCTGAACACAATCTTAATGTGTGTAATTTTAAATGGGAAACTGAAAAGGAAACACTTTTAAATGAGAAGTAAAATTTATAGAGTGTGAGATGGAATAAACTCTCAATTGGTCGGTAAAATGCTACAACTTCAAACTACACAGTTCAGGTCTAAGACTTCCAACTACTCCAAAACATTGGGGGTCTCACGAACCTTATTACCAAAGAAGTGTGCAGGAGATAAGCTGAAAACTCAACTCTTGACGAAACTTAACCACGAATACTCGGCCTTTCAAAAAAAGACAAAATTACCTTTTGCAAGCTCTAGCGATAGAGTATGCCGAGCTGTAACGACAACAGTAGTCTGATAACAAACACTTGAGTGACCTCTATAGCAAACCTCACTGAACCGTAACGCAAGTGACGACCGGCTAACTTATAAATTTGCAACAGTGTCAATTAAAAAAAAAACTGGACCGGTTAGGTACTTTGCAGAAATTTTGTTTTAAAAAAAGTTGGTTCAGCTTACTTTGGCGTATTTTAGTACTCGAATGAACTCTGCAAGAGCCGAGCGATATTTAAGCAACAGAGATTGTAACGGAGAGTGCGATCAACACTTGTTACGAAGTTGCAAAAAAAAAAAGCAAGAAAAATTTGGGCATCGGGTGGCCGGCCAGTTTGGAAAAAGTGGGAAAGTAAATGCCGGCCACCCTTGTTTTCCTGCCAATTTGTACTGTAAGAGGGGAGCTGCTTCCAAATCAACTCGAATGCCTTGAATATCAGATCACATCACAAACAAGGTAATGACAAAAAAAACTGTTCGCACTATTTAATAGACATATAACAAAAACTCATTGTAGGTTTACAATCACATAATAATCCAAAAGGAAGTCTTGACACACTAATCCTAGACTGGATCTCTGAGCAGTCAGAGAACTCGAAATCTTACGGCAGACAAGATCTTTTCGAACAAATTATTTGGGTACCGGTTATAACCTTAAATGAAGGTTAAACTAAATATGCAATGAACTCACCGCTTTAAAACGTTTTTCAAAGTTTTACAGATCTTCTTCTGAAGTGACTGAATAAAATACCAGAGTAAAATGGTTGGCTAACGCTTGCACTCAACAAAATTTCATGTACTCTTCCACCACAACACAATATGGCCGACTGTTCATGTCCTGATCTGAAAGCAGAATGCGCGCGCAAGCTCTTATGGGATTTTTGGCCGCTGGCGCGCTTGATTGCTCGAAGTTAAAAAAGATCTCGTCTTAAGTGTAATTGTTCCAACTGCATCCTTTGTAATTCTTAATTCTTTTTAATAATTTATCCCATTAGTTGGTTTTTATTAGAAAATAGCTTGTTGGATTTTAACTATATTGTATTGTTAATTATATTGTCAGGCTTTTCAATAGTTCATTAGAAAATAGTTAGTAGGTTATTAATAATTATTATTATACTAAATGTTCCCAATTAGTAGAGGGTTTTTTTTCCCCCCATTGGCTAGATAAAAAGACACGTTAATAAAGTTTATGTATCTATGTATCCATCCACTCAACTGATAAGTAAATACAGCAAGTTCTGGCATGCAGTCACAAAAAAGTTATCTATATCTAAGTGA